GAATTCTCAGCTCTGCTTCTCCCTTTGCTAACACTAAAAACAAGGAGCTCATGGAGAGCAAAGAATTGTCCTCCTAGAGCAAAGGTGCCAGCTGGTGAGAGTTGGAGTTTTGGACTAAGATGCACCCAAGTGCCAACAGGCCATAGCAGGAGTCACCTCCAGGGGTGAGAGTGGAACAGCTCTTGCAGCTTCTGCAGAAAGGTCCATATTCACATACGTGCTGATGATTGTTGGGTAAAACACAGGACCTTGGTCTTTCTGTTGGTTTGTATTTTGTATTCTGAAAATAGTGTCTTTTTGAGGATGTTTTTACGTCCATCATGTGACACTTCCTTCAAAGCAGGTGTTCTGGTTCAGGGTTGTTTGGGGTTTGTAAATTTTGGTTTTTTTAACTGAAAGCTTAGGAATTAAATGGTAAGATCTAGATGTATTTCAAGTTTTCAGTGCTACACAGCAGGGCTTCCTTGGAGCTCCTTTTAACAGCTTTTAAGTGACTGGGAGCAAAGGTTTAGTTTCTCCAAGCCAGCTTGAGGATTAAAAAGACACACTGGCTTTACCCTGCTTTGGCTTTGTCATTGTCCCAAGTCTGTTCATGATTTCAGTGCTTGATGAAGTGAACCTTGCATCACTTCCATGCCCCTTCACAGATCTCCTGGGGAAATGCCCTTCTCAAACGTGAGCTCTTTCCATTGCTGTATTGACCTGCTGCAAACTCCTCTGGTTTTCTGCTGGTGTCGCGTGCCCTAGAAATGTGTGTGTTCATCAGGTGAGAACCTTCTTATTCTTTCCACTGTACATGTATGTGCCTGTAGAACTTGTGTGTGTGTGTGTCTGGGCAGGGCAAGGCAAGGCAGCCCCATCACTGCAGGGAGAATGGAGGAGGTGACTGCGAGTCACCCACTTACTCACTGCCCTGCACTGTGGGAAACCTGTATTTTGTGGTTTTGTAGAGCACTTGCTCTTGAGTGCAGGCAGGCAGGGAGGCTGCCCCCCCTTCTCGAGAGCAAATGTATCACTTACTACTCTTATGTAAAGCAAACTCAGTGTCAAGTCTGAAATGAGGAGCTGCACTGGCAATCCCAGCTCCCTGCAGCAGGTGCTGAGCTGGCACTTTCACAGAAGGTTGTGAAATTTGATCACACAATGGGAAACAGAGCCACTCCTTGAGGGCAAGATCTGGAAACATAATGGGGAACCACCCTCCAGAGGTGATCTGTGTAATAATGGGGCTTAGAAACACTTTCTGCCTGCTTTGCTTAGAAAATGATGAACGTTTTTAATAGTGTCACTGAGTTTTGCACAAGCACACACTATATTTAGCTGTGCCTCCATGTCCCTCACTCAGACACACCCAAGGCAAGAAGCTGCCCAGTGCTGCTGCCATCACTTCCAGGTGGAAACCATTCATGATTTTTTCCCGTTCTCTTTATGTCCTGGTTTGATTGTCAGCTTCTCTGCTCTCTCTGGAGCTTTTCACCCATTGCCTCCTGGAAGCTGGGCAGCCCTGGGCCCCCCAGCACCTGCCCTGCAGCCACCTCTGGGGGAGTCCCTCCCATTTCTGTACCCATGGATGCTAATGAAGGTGGAACACCCAGTGTTATTGCCTGGCCCCTGTGACACTTGGTGCTGCTGGATGTCTCCCTGCTTTCTTCTTGAGATGGCCATGAAGATTGCACCTGCACTCCCCACTGACACACCACAGCCTCTGAATAATATAGGCTAATAGAAAAAGACTTCAAAGAATCACAACACAGTTTTCAAGGGCTGGAAGGAGAGGCTGATGGGAAATGTTAAAAGAATTCAACATTTCCTGCTTAGCTAAGCAGTAATTGAGAAGGAGACGTAAACTATGTGCAAGTATTTCAAAGAGAAGGAAAAGCCAACAAAGGTACACACACTGCCCTGATGCTGCAGACAAAGAGGAAAGAAGGGAGAGGTTTGTTTGTCATGTTGTTGGGTGCTCAGACACAGGGTGAGCAGGGTAATGAAAATATTTAGACAGATTTGGATGTTATTTCACAGAGGTAAAT